TGGTACAGTGGCAGGAAAGCTGATTGTGGAAAGTAGTAGCTTATCTTTGATTGTATGCCTACAGTATGGAGTTTTTTCTTGTTGATTTGTTGTATGTGTGCCGGAACTTAAGGCTACTGTAAAAGGTGGATACTAGGAATTTTCCCTCTGAGTCTTGATGTGGACTGTGAATCCATTTAGCGTAATGTATATTTGGATCATTTGCAGCTTTGTTTCCAAACTGAATGAAATAGTTTTATCAGTGTCAGAGGTAAGTTTGTTTTATCATCATCAAGGCTGATATTTTTGTATATTCAGCATTTGACTTGTGTTTGGGTGGGAAGGAAAGAAAAATACTTATGTAGTGGTCCATCTGCAAATAATATGGGTTTGAGTAGCTGTGATGCATTCGGTAGATCATTGATGTAGATGAGAAGAGAGGAGTGGTCCAAGGATGCTTCCTGTGGGATCCTACTGTGATGGTTGGGTGGAGGAGTTTTTTTGCATCATTTGCATACACATATTGTGTTCTGTTTCTAAAGGTATTACTTTAGGTAGTTGGGGAGAAAAGTGTCCTCTGATACCTATAGTCGCATTAATTTGGAGTACAAGTAGTTCATGGTCGGATGTATCGAAAGATTTACATAAAATCAATGAAATTGCACCAGGGGACTTCTTCTTTTCAAGGCAGTATACATTAGTTCTAGCACGTGTGTCTGAAGGCGTCATTGGTGCTTTATTATTTCATGTATCCAAACTGACAAGGGTTTAATATGTTGTGTGAAACGAGGTAGGAATAGATCGTCTTATGAATCAATTTTTCAAAGGATTTTAGAGAGGCAATTGGTAAGTTAAGATATTGGTCTATAGTTATTCATGTCAGTTGGTCACCTCCTTTAGGATCGGGAGTGACCCTCGCTAATTTTGAGGATGTTGGGAAGGTAGATGATTCAGTGGATTTGTTAAAGAGCGTGTAGCAATAATTGGTGACAATACTTAAGAAGCTTTTTTGTACATAATGCAGGCAAGTTGATTTATGTCTCTGCTTGTTTTTTAAGGGTTATGTTTATGATGAGCATTAACTCAGTGGGGTTTGGTTGGAGCTAGGAATAGCATATTTGGGGTTTAGGTTCCTTGAGGTTATAGTCTGAATGGACATGCATTTGGCTTGGTATTTATTTTGTTTGCTAGATTTTTCCTTGGTGGTGAAGAAGACATTAAGTCTGTTTGCTGTTTCAGTTGGAGTGAGTGGGCTCATCTGATTTTGTTAGTTTGATTGGCTTTTGGTTTTTTGGAAACTTTTTAGTTCCAAGAATTTCAGATTGTTTTCCAGTTAGCACGTGTTAACACCCGTGACTGCACTGTGTGGAATTGTTATGGTCTTAAATTTTTTAAAGGCCATGAGGGGGTTGTTGGAGACAGAGTCAAAAATTATTTTTAGGTGGAGTATTTGAGGGCATGAAAAATTATGTACTGTGGGTAACCTCGGTTTTCGTGATTAACCGTTTGAAAAGTCTGACCAAAACTCCTGTATCGTATTGAAACTGAAGTAATATTTCCAATAAGATGTAATGTAAAATCCAATTAATCCATTCATCCAGACACCCAGCAATGATGACAGAAAATACATTTTATAACAGAATAACTATAGTTTTTTGCATACTTAGGACATACAAAAAAACCGGACGAGGGTTTTGACTACTTTAACAGTACAGTGGACACTAGGGTAAACGATTTTTCATTGAGGACGAAAAAAAATCGGGATTGCAACGTTTGTTTTGCATCCAAATATTGACTCGGTTTACGAAAAAAAGCTCGGTTTCAAGGAACTTGTCCCAAACATGTCACGAGGCCCCTGGAGTGGGCCTGGCCACTCCATGTACAGCTATGTGTGCCATTGTTAGAAGCCAGGGCGGACGATTCCACGAGTATGCATATGTTTTGTATTATTACGTTGTTATTAGTGCTTGTAAACTGTAAAAAGCCACCATGGGACCAAAGAAGCTTTCTAGTGCCTTCCCTGCGTTTTTAAAAGAAATGCCAATAGAATTCACCAAGAAAAAATCGTATCTAAGTACCAAAGTGGAGGAGGATTAGAGAGGGGAGAGAATTGTGCATTCTGCAGGATTCAGTGATTCTAACGATATGTGTGTTACTTAAAGCAGCAGGGTATTGATAATGGATATAAGTCCAACCAGCGATAAAGTGTTGTAGAATTTACAGGTAGCATGTAGTTTTAAACGAGTTAAGTGATAGAAAAAACGACATGAAAGTAGTCTCCAATGTTGTTGGATGTGTATAGGGCCAGTTGAACCATATGCCACCTACTATCTTCCACACCCTAAAACCTCTGCCTGCATCTTCCTCCGTCAAACTAAACTAATTAAACTAACATCTCCTCCAAGGTAAGTGTAACAAATATAAAAGTTGTAAGTTATAAAAGTATTTTTTTTTTTTTTCAACAAACTGGCCGTATCCCACCAAGGCAGGGTGGACCAAAAATGAAAAACAAAATGTTTCTCTTTAAAAATAAATGTATGTGTAAATATAAAAGGACTCTAGTGGAACTAAGTACTTCTGACTTTTTTGGGTTATCTTAGGATACTTTACACTTATGCTGCAGTGTAGAATATTCTTATGTACTTATGTGTATTTGTGTATACCTGAATAAACTTACTTTATTTATAAATTAAAATCGTAATATTTCTTTTTTATAAATTACATATACATTGTTTATGTTGTGAATTAGGATTAGTGCTTCTGCCTGCCGCTCCACCACTTATTCCTCACACATTGTCATATTTTATTCATTCTAGAGTATATATCATGTTTCTATGTTATTATATTGTTTATTATGTCATATTAGATGAATTGTGATAGATAAATAAGCCGTATAGATGATATTAGCGTCATATTGAAGCATAATAAACTCGCCTTCCTCTCGCCTCCTACCTGTCTTCCATACACCAACATGAATCAGTAAAGGTAAGTGTGATGTTAAATATTCATTTATCCATTTTATTAGTGCTTTATATTTATTTGTCATTGTTTTCTGTATGTATATCTATATTTAACCCTTTCAGGGTCTGTCCCGTAGATCTACGGCTTTACGTTCAGGGTCCAAACCGTAGATCTACGTCATGAGCTCAGCTCACTCTGATAAACTGTGAGTGGTACATTTGGGCCTAGATATGAGAGAATACATCTATGTGGTATGTGTGCACCACATAAAACAGATCCTGCAGCACACTGTGTATAATGAGAGAAAAAAACTGAAATCATGATTTTTCGATTAAAACAGCGACTTTGCAGTGTTTTTTCGTATGTTTTTTTAGTTGTATTTGCAATTTCTTGGTCTCATTTGATAGAATGGAAGACATATTACAGAAATAGAGATGATTTTGATTGGTTTTAGCACTGGAAATGGCTTGAAACTGAGCTCAAAGTAGCAGAAATGTTAAATTTTTGCCCGTATTCAAGAGTAAACAAACGACCTCACACGTCTAATACACGCCAGCTGGTGGGTCTAATATGCATTCACAAATATGGTGATGATATTTATACAATTATTACAATATTGCATAACAGTAAATCTTTTATTTTTTGGTGTGAATAAAAATTCATTATGTGAATAAAAAATCAAAATGGAATTTATTTGTAAAGCCTCAAAACATAACTAATGAACAGAGGAAATGTTAGTTTAGTTCCAGGAATACCTACATTGCTTATTCTGGACCCTATTTTGAAATTGGAATATTTTGAACTTTGTGTTAAATTGGCCAAATTAACAATTTCCGATCACTTTAATTTGTAGTTGAAACAGTTGACTTGGCGATTTCTTGTGCTCAATCGATAGAATAGAAGTAATACTAGTGAAATAGCTAAGAATTTGGTTGACTGCAATAATGTAATTGGCCAAAAATGGGAGTCAAAGTCGGCAAAATCGCCGATTCGTAAATATCCCTGACACATCAAATTTCACAAGAACATAATTTCGTCAATTTTCCATCAAATTTCGTACTTTTTGTTTTATTACCTTCAGAAAAAGATTCTCTACCATTTCATAAGAAAAAATAACAAATTTTTTTTTTTTTTTGAAAATTCCTGGACACTGGGGCACCACTTCAGATTTGGGCCTTACACCCTGAAGGGGTTAATCTTTAAAAAAAATATTTTTTGTTAATACTTTTGGGTGTCTGAAATGGATTAATTGAATTTCCATTACATGTATTTCTTATGGGGAAAATTAATTCGGATAACAAAAAAATTGGTTATAGACGAGCTCTCTGGAACAGATTAATGTCATTACCCGAGGGTCCACTGTACATACTTATCACATGTGTACTAGTATGTTGGACACAGTTAAAAAATTAAGGATGCTTCCTTACAGTGGTGTCTATGAATATTAGATTCTCTGTAGATCAGTTATGTTTTGCTCCAGTTCATACGATGACCCTCCTAGATCTGTGCGAGTTACACATTGCTGGTGTCCTCTTGGCTACACTCATTTCTGTTCTTACACTCGCATGGAAGGATTCCTCACTGTTTCTCCTCTGTCTCTCATGGAAGGCATTATTAGTCTCATTACTCACATAGGGTGATGACATTCTAGTAATATATCCCAGAAAACCAAACATACAAGGTCTTCTTCTTTATAATATCAACAAATTCAAACTCACTATTAAATTCACTCTTGAACTAGAACACAAATTCAAACTACAATTTCTTAATGTTCCTCTATGCTTGTCACTGAACAGACAAACTCTTTCTTTCAGAATTTCCACAGATCTCACAATTGTGGTAACCCTTTATAAGTAAACTATATGTAACGTACGCTATACAGTTAAACAAATGTGTATGGTGTATGCCATGTGCCTGCACTCTGAAGGAGGGGTGAGGATGTTGCAGTTGCAGGGTAATCTGAGCTATGATACCAGCACACTTCTGGCAAGACAGCGACTAAATGAATATTGAATGTGTGTCTTTAGGTCACTCTGTCTTGACAGAAGAGGGCTGTTGAGATGAAAAGAAATGAACATAAACAAAGTATGACTGCATTACAAAAAAAATGATTCAGCCTTTATAAAATTGATTAATTTCATACAAAGAAAAGGGAGTTCTCTATACATGCAAAATATGAACATCTACAAGTGGTTTTTACCCCCAGATATCCACAAATATTAAGACATTTGGTAAAATAATTGCTGAGGGTAACATTGTTACTAAATATAAGATGCTGGTAACCCTTCTCTTGTATTAATTACTGAAAAGAAAAAGGACATGCTGAAGTTGAGTTGTTTGAAATATGCAGGAGGAGGTGTTGTACAGATGAGAAGAAAAGATCGTTAATGGTTTGAATTATAAGAAGCTGGATGGCCTAGCACTGAGTGAAATAAAATTGAGTGAGTGGGAGAATTTCAATGTGGAGGAGTAAATGGATTAAATTGAATGTATCTGAGTGAACTAATGGTAAAGAAGTAAAAGTAGTATTAAATTATCATCTATGGAAAAAGGAAATAGAGGGGTACAATCTACACAAAGAATTGTGTAGATTGGAGTAAGAGTCGGATGTAAAAAAATGGGTTATAATAAGTGTTTATTCACCTGGAGTAGAGTGTGTAGAGAATAGAAAGGGAGAAATTTTGGGAGATATTAAACCATTGTTTCGGGAGTTTTGGACCAAGTGAGAAAATAATTGTTTGGGGGGGACCAAAGTACTAGAGTGGAAGGAACTGTTGTATCATAGTAGGTATGTTTAGAATGCCAGAGGTACATGATAATGGGGGTTCTCTTATTGAACTATGTGATGAAAAATTATTTACTTACATATTGAACATTGTATAATTTCAGGTGAGGGTCTACCTCACACTGCTGGGACTCACCTTATGAGTAGGGAGGCTGCAGATGCAGTGTTTGTGTTGGGCCAGACGGGAGGCACACTCTTGGTCGTCAAGATGATAGACATGCCATATTCAGTCTTCACTGAAACCATCAAAAATGCTTCTCTAATGAACAGACTGTTCACTGGTTTTGTTCCAGGGATGTTCAGGTTTGTACATCATGGTTTTTTGGTTTTGCAAGTTTTAAATGTGTATTTAACCCTTTTACTGTTTTGGCCGTATAATACATGTACGTCTTACGAGCCAAGGTTTCTGATGTATTAATACATGTAAATTCTAGCAGCTTCAAATCAAGCGGGAGAAAGCTGGTAGGCCTATACAGTGGACCCCCGCATACCGGACGCCTTGCATAACGGACAATCCGCATACCGGACGCTTTGATCGCAAAAATTTTGCCTCGCATACCGCCCAAAAACCCGCTCAGCGCCCTTCGTCCGAGACGCGTCCAATGTGCGGCCTGAGCCACGCTCACATGTTCCGCCGGTGGCATTGTTTACCAGCCAGCCTCCGCGGTAACATCCAAGCATACAATCGGAACATTTCGTATTATTACAGTGTTTTTGGTGATTTTTTTCTGGAAAATAAGTGACCATGGGCCCCAAGAAAGCTTCTAGTGCCAACCCTACAGCAATAAGGGTGAGAATTACTATGGAGATGAAGAAAAGATCATTGATAAGTATGAAAGTGGAGTGTGTGTCTCCGAGCTGGCCAGGTTGTATAATAAACCCCAATCAACCATCGCTACTATTGGTGGTACAGCTGCTGCTGCTGCTGTACCACCGTCAGCTGCTGCTGCACTGTCAGCTGCTGCTGCTGTACCACCGTCAGCTGCTCCTGCTGCTGTAGTACCGTCTGCTGCTGCTGTAGCATCGTCTGCTGCTGCTGTAGCATCGTCTGCTGCTGCTGTAGCATCGTCTGTTGCTGCTGTAGCATCGTCTGTTGCTGCTGTACCACCGTCAGCTGCTGCTGCTGCTGTAGCATCGTCTGCTGCTGCTGCTGCTGTAGCATCGTCTGCTGCTGCTGTAACATCGTCAATTGCTGCTGTAGCATCGTCTGCTGCTGCTGTAGCATCGTCTGTTGCTGCTGTAGCATCGTCTGTTGCTGCTGTACCACCGTCAGCTGCTGCTGCTGCTGCTGTAGCATCGTCTGCTGCTGCTGTAACATCGTCAGTTGCTGCTGTAGCATCGTCTGCTGCTGCTGTAGCATCGTCTGTTGCTGCTGTACCACCGTCAGCTGCTGCTGCTGCTGTAGCACCGTTGTTGGTGTGGCTTATTGAGAATACCAAGAAACAATTAACCCCAGAGGATTTGCCACCCAGGATAGCCCAAAAAAGTCAGTGTCATCGAAGACTGTCTAACTTATTTCCATTGGGGTCCTTAATCTTGTCTCCCAGGATGCAACCCACACCAGTCGACTAACACCCAGGTGAACAGGGAAAATGCCTGGAACTAGTGCTCATATTGGTGAATTTAGAGCCAGCAAAGGTTGGTTTGAGAGATTTAAGAATCGTAGTGACATACACAGTGTGATAAGGCCTGTTTCTGGAAGAAAATACCAAACAGGCCCTACAGTACTCAGGGAAAGGCACCCCAGGACACAGTGTCTCATCATATTGCGCATCTTAAATTAAAGGGTAGTGTATTTTTCTTTTTAGTAGGTATACATGCACAATATATATTTGATGTACTACCTACTATTGTCTGATCCTTCTCTTTGGTGTAAAAATGTTATTTCTTGGTAAAAATTTTTTTTTTTATACTTTGGGTGTTTGACGGATTAATTTTGTTTTCCCATTATTTTTTTGGGGGAAAATTCATTCGCATACGCTTTCGCATAACACCGCCCTTTGCAGGGTTTAAGGTGCTATGGGGGGTCCACTTTTGGAGAGAATGGGTCTGGTGAGGGTGTGTGCACTATGAAAATATTCAAAGATCAGTGGTCATTGGGGAACCCATCTTAGTAGTCCTTGTTCCGTCCCTCGTGGTGAAGTCCCTTTTACTCCTTGCTGAATTTTGGGTCTTTTTTTCCCAATGATATTCTAAAAGAAATGGAAGTCCAGTAAAAATGAATTTCATGGTTTTCGGGAGGGTGTGATCGAAAGCATCCCCGGATAACTAATTAGTGATGAAAAACAAAAAACCCAAAACCTTTCCCACCTCTGGTGTTAGGCCGCCATTCACTTCACCTTTCCAGGACAAAAAAAGAAAATTTCCCCTTTGTACGGGTGGGATGTGAGCATGAAAAGTGAGTATAATGTTTCTAAGTTATTGAAAATTGCTGGGTTTTGGGGCAATGAGGGGGAATATTTTTCCAGTGAAGGGGGCAGTATGTACGACCGCATGCTTTTTGGGTAGTGTGTATATGCCTTTCCCAAGGGAAAATAGTAAATCTCAGAGTACCCCCTCCCTACCCACGAGGAAAAGGAAGTGCGATGACATTTTACAATGAGGATGGTAATGTGCTAGGGCAAGGGGTGGGTAGTTTTGGGGGTGGCATGATACATGGCCCAGCAGGGGGGGCCGCTGTCCCCACGCGCTAACTCTCACAGCCAAAACCAGCCTCAACTACCCCCACACTCCCCAACCCCCAACCAAAATTCCACAACCACCTTTTCAAATCCAGCACCAACCAGCAGATCGCATCGGGAATTGTTCTAAAAACTATCACTTTGATAAAACGCAAAGGGGAATGGGGCCATCGTTTTTACATTTGGGAACAATACCCCTGAACGGGAATGTTTTCAGTTTTTCTCGTTTGAACCCAGAGGGAAAATTTTTGTCAGGCAAAGTAACCATTTTCGAAACACCATGGCAAACACAATTGTTTCACCAAGTCATACTAACAATTGGAAGGACCCCAACGTGGCGAGTGTATTGTTCTTTGCCACAGTAATGCTTATGCCACATGTGTATAACACACTGTCACATTACGGGCCGACGGAATGCTGATTCAACCCCAGGTTTTGGTATTAACCAGTGAATAGATTTCTGCTGTTATGTATGCTACACTTCTCAACGAGACAACTTCTGACAGAAAGGGCGGTTATAAAGATCGGGAATTTGTTTATGTACAGTAGACCTTTTTTAGAGGTTCATTTGGCAGTTTGAGTATAGCACATTGAAAAATTTGGGGCAGAATTTTATGTACCGTGTAGATGAATTTAAAATGGTTCACTTTGCGGGAAGGTAAAAAAAATTCCCCTTTTTCCTCAAGCGGCTCCCTTTGTTCGGTTCAGTGAGGAGACCTCCTGCCTTCCAGCCCCCCCCCGCACCCCCCCACCCCCCCAATTCGACTTCATACTTTGTCCAGCCCAATTCTCGTAAAAAGCTTGGGATTGGAATTGTGTTTCGATCTTTAATTTGTATCCCTTATGTTTTAAAAGCAACATGACACCCAGAAAAGCTCCCCGTGTTGCTAAAAGGAAAGAGAAGGTGTAAACATTTTCCCTCTTAGAATTAAAAGAAGTAAACAAAATTTAGACAAGACATCCCGTGGGCCCTAAAGAATGTTACTTCGTACAAAAAAAAAGGGTAAAAATAAATTTGGTGATGACTAGTGACTGACTACTGCTTTTCTGAATGACTGACTCTGGTGACTTGACCCTTTTGAATGATTGACGGCTAACGAAAGACTTGATGAAAGAATTAAATGACTGAATAATTTACTGACTTACTGAATGACTTTCTGAAGAAATTGGTTGACTTACTGATAGCTGACTTATTGAAGATTTTACACTTATTGAATGTTTGAGACTTTTGAATATTTGACAGATTACTGAATGACTTGTGACTTATGAAGACTTGACTGACTTATGAATGACTGACGGCTTACTGAAGACTTTACTGGGTTACTGAAGACGATGGTTTCTGAAAACTTGACTGGCTTTCTGAATACTTGACTGGCTTACTGAAAACTTGACTGACACGAATCTTGATGACTTATGAATGCTTGCTGACTTACTGAACGACTTGACTGATTATTGAATCCTTGTGTTTACTGAATCACTTTTAGACTTATGAATGTCTGATTGGGAATACAAAATTGAAATCAGTCAACCCAAAAACGTACCAAACCTCTACCCTCCCCCTCACACCAGTCGGGGCCCCCATGCTTCCCCTCTTCACAGTCATCCACAAACACCACACCCACAATTTTTAAGGTAAATATATTATTTTTTGTTAATTTTTTGTCTTAAAACCCTTTCGGTTTCGGCCATACTAGTAGGCCCTTTGCCCCCCGGGTTTTTGACGTACTGTACCCTTTAAATTCTAGCTCCCCCCAAAAATTTTGAAAAAAAAGCTGGTGGCCCCTATGAAAAATGGGGCTATTGGTCAGTGTGCACAGTAAAAAAAATCCGCAGCACATAGGGAAAAAAAAAAAAAAAAAACTTTGCCCATTTTTGGGTTAAAACAGCGACTTTGCACTGTATTTTCTTTTGGTTTTATTTTGTATTTTAGTTTTTGGGCTCATTTCATAGAAGGAAGACATATTCAGAAATTTGGGTATTTTGACTGGTTTTTACAAAGAAAGTACCTGAAATTGACCAAAATAGCAAAATGTTTGTTTTTTCCAAATTTCAAAAAAAAACAAATATGCCCGTGTCAATACCTCAAAGGGGAGTTTGATATTTTTTTCAAAGTGCGCTGTATTATTTAATTTTCTAACCAAGCAGGTCTGCATAACAGTAAGTTCCTAGTTTTGTAAGAAAAAAAATTTAAAGGGAAAAACCAAAGAAATATAAGAGGGGCGGGGGTGTGACTAAAAGAACGAGAACTTGTTATTTTTGGCCAGGTGTCTTTCTTGTTTTTTCTGGACCCTATTCGGAAAACTGGCATCTTTAAATTTGTGTGAAATTGGGGGAAATTGCTAAATTTGCCACTTTATTTGGGTAGTTTAAATCGGGTAAATGGAGGTTTCTTGTACTCATTCGATAGAAAAAAGGATTCTAGCAAAATAGTTATAATTTGTCAACTGTACACGGAATTTCCCCAAAAAAAGGGCTCAAATTGGCAAAAACGCCCATGCGTAAACCGGCGAGACCTCTAAATTTTCGAGAGCAAAAAACTGTAAGTTTTCATCAAATTTTTTCTTTTGATGTCATTATGACAGGGGGAAGATTCTTTATCTTTTCATAAAATTTTTTTTTTTT